TGGAATTATGGCCACATTTCGCAGTTAATTACCCAGTTAATATCGCTTCCGAGGTGAATTTTTTCAGAATCAGAATATGAAATCTCCATGTCTGGGAGCTGAGGGGGAAATGAAGGTTTTAGGCTTCTGAAGTGAAGAAATAATCACTTAAATTTAGATCACGACGATCCCATCGTGTTCGTAGAGGCGAGAGGGGCGAAGTATCCCCAGGGGAAGTGAGTGGTATACTGGAATCTGACGAACAGCTCGAACACTCGATACCAGCGGTATTTATTGACGAGAACTGAAATAGCTTTTTTCCAGCCTTCGGCGCTATGACGTCACAAACGAGAGTACAAGCTTCAGTAGCCTTGTCGATGCAAATCTCTTTCTCGTGTTCTTTTGCCTCCTCCCATGTACTTTTCAGCTGAAAGGTCAAGGGACTGACGCGGCCACCACCGGTTGCTAGTGGGTTCAGTTTCTCTATGGCATCTGTAAACGTCGACATTGCTAACTCGCTGATACTTTCAGCTGCCTCGTCGTCTCCAGAGCTCTGGTTGTCGGTCCCAGATCTGGATCCCAGAGTCCAATCAGATGTAAAGGCATTCGCTTTCGGTCGAGGCGGAGTCGCGGCAGGCGTTGATGTGACCGTTGTAAGACTTATAGCTGCCATTCGTTTGGCGAGTCTGGGAGTTGAGAAAATCAAACAAAAATTAGATTTCCTCCCGCCATGTGATTAACTGCATAGTGTGTCCACCACTGAAATTTTTGAGGGCATTGTTGCGAAAGTAGAATTTAGTTCATCTTCGTCAGCAATACGCGCTAAAAATTCCGTTCTTTTCACAATCAGCACCACCGCGTGCAAGTGTATGGTACGTTATCAACCATTTTCTTTTTTAAAGTCGTCCAATTTAAAGCCAAAACACAGTTTGTCATTTTTTCGAAAAGTTTGCCCATTTTGGCCATGCACCAGTAAAAATAATTTGCTTACTGCATCAGCAATGTTGCGCGAAATATTTTAGGAAAATATTTCGAGGAAAACAATTTTGCTTGCATGCAACATTTCCATTGAATATTTGTCCTTGAAAGTGCTCTAGGTGTCGCTACATATGATGGTCTGCTTTATTTATAGGATCAGGTAACGTTTATATCACCTATAAGGTTCTTCCTCTTGCTGGTTACTTTCTTCGGGACGTTGCCCCTGCAACAACGTCATGTTCTCCGCGAGTTTGATGTTGTGCAGCTTGTAACAAGATACACAGACTACTGAAAAGCACGAAATACAACAATAATGCAAAATGATAATAAGCAGAGTAATACTTATAGATGACAAATAAAAACAGTTGCACTATGATCACGTGACCCCGGGTACTCTCTTAAATTTCGAATAGGGGGTGTGCTGCAAAGGTTGTTAAACTCGAGTCTAGGGATAAAAGGACGAAAATCGATGCCTGCTGCTTTTTATATCAATGACGCAAAAGGGCTTTGTGTAAATGTATAAATGTCAAAACAGAAGGAATATTATCTTGCCATAGCGTAAACATTGGTGTCAAAGAACTCTCAAAGTTTATTTATCTGGTATCTCGCCTTGCGTGTATGACATAAAAAAATGCTTTTGTAAACATGTAGATATTGAGAGACTGGTAGGGCAGAAAAACCCAATATATTACGCATTTTTCAGTACAATTGCTGTTTCCCGATTAAAAACATAATTGACTGACGTTACAATTTTGTAGTGTTGCAAACTTTGGTTGTAGATTTCAAGTTTGCCTCAGAGCATTGTTACAAGTCGAAGTGTGATTTAAGTTATCAAGTTGCACTAGCTGCCACATGGCCTCCATGTGGAATGACGGTACGTATCTTGCGACGAAATTACAGCAGCTGTTTTGTTTTATACTCACTTGCGTGCGAGCTTTGGCCCAAATGTTAATCAAATCCAAAATACTGAGTTCTGACTTTTAACGCACCTCAATATGTGTGTAGATCTTATCTTAATTTAAACTGTGGTCCACATTTCAGGACAATACCTTATTGGTAAGCTATAATTTACATAATCATACTTTCGGGAACCTGTTGGAACGAGTTCTGAAAAGATAGCATTAATTTCCATTGACATGTCGAGATGAACTGCATTTCTAGTATTTAGCTGCTTTTTCCGGCCGTTGTGCAGCGGGTACTGGCAAGTGCGACGTGGTTGCCTGTTTTTACACATGTTTCCTCTATGCTTTTCGCAGATTCAAAGCTCTTCAAGTTGATCGGGGGAAAGGTCGTGTGGCAACCCTGACCTGTTAAAGATAAGCTCATATTCCTGTACCTTTCCTCTAAGCTGACCTAAGTGACATGCTTGTAGATAATCATTGATGTCACCTCTACATTCTGAGAGCTCTATCAACCTCGCTGAAGACTCGCTACAGAACAGGCGCGTAGCGTTCTATACGCACGTACGTACTTGAAGTGGCCAGAAAATTTTGAAACTTTTAGCAGTTGTTTCTATTTTTTCGCTCAGTTGACTTAGGTTTGTAGATTATATGTACTTATGCGTACTTGAAAAAATGAGCACCCTACGCGCCTGCAGAATGAAGCCTTTCTGGTTTCGAAAAAGCACTTGCATGCCATACTACACTTGCAGGCCTTCCAAAAAAATAAAGGGCCAGCGGGTTCACCCGTAATGGTTAATAATAATAATAATAATAATAATAATAATAATAACAATCTGTTATTAGGAGGCTCCATGACAATAGTGGTTTACGTAAAGGTCCTAGTGCAGACCTCTGCGAAAACAGAACCACGGCTGTGCTCGATAGTGCAATCGTTCAGCCTTAAATTCCAATTTTTAGCCCCCAAACTTCGACATATAGACTTTTGAAGTTCTATGACTGATTCTTGAAGAGAATGCAGCAGCGATCCAAAGTTTTAACAGGACATTAAGCGCGAAACATGGCTTTGGTTTTCGAGTTTAGTTCGCAACAACCAGTCAAAGAAGAGTGTCGATACACGCCGACCGCTTTTGAAAAATCGAAAACTTACAGGGGTTTTTGCATTTTCTTGCCTGTAAGGGTCCAAACTTAACGGCTGAGTTGGATAGAGTTTTCAACCAGGTCCTAAAGTCCCAAAACTTAACTTCTAAATCAAGGTTATCTTCGGACATCTGCCGATGGATATTTATAGGGGTCAGAATATGCTAAAATTCGCCTTTTCAGATATATTGAGAGGGCAAATTCTAACTTTCTTGGCAAACTAGAAGGGTTTTTAAGCAATCTGATATAAATTCGGTGGCTTAACTATGCGTATCAAATATTTTACAATGTTACAAAATATTTCAATTTTCGAGACGTTGCGACGGTCCCAACAGACTGGGAAACAATTATGGCCCCTAACGCAATCAGAAAATTATTTCGAAACAAACCAAATCTAATTGAGTTCTTTCCTAAGTAAAGTGTTTCTGTTGACAGAGTTTCAGGCAAAATTATTTTTGACGCGAAATTGACCGGGTGGAAACGAGACAGCCTCTTAAGTACCTTTCTTAATGAATGAAAAAAAAAAATGCATAGTGTTGTTACAGTTGTAACAAAGGATCCAAAAATACGTTTACGAACTTTGGATCCATATTTCTAAATTTGGATCACATAAACCTAAGCTGTAACTTTCAGCTTTAGTTATAACTTTGGATCCGTAGTTAAAGCTTTGGATTCTCAGTTACAACTTTAATACTTATACCCACTGTTTTCGTTCATTGAGAATAACTGAGAATGGTACTTAGCGGCCACCATACAAAACTAAACCTCACAAGTTATTAGTAAATGTAGGAGAGAAGGTAACACGAGAGAGTTTTACCCGTAAACTGGTGATCATCAAACTTTATAACACCACGCATACTTTTTTTACTTTCTGCAGTTGTTCGGTCGACGACGATGACACACTACAATTCCATTCCAGCTTCAACAACAGGTCTCAGCGGTGGAGCCTTGAGGCCTTTCAATACGTCAGCAAACACCCGTATGTATTTTTCCATTGCCGGGTCCAAATCTGTAACGTTACGGATCCTACCTCAAGATGTGCACAAGGCTGCATAGAGAGAAGGCGAAGAAGCGCGAAGATCCTTCATGACAACCCGGATGACATATATGCTTTAGCCCAGGGTCCTCTTGCCCTGAACCGAGAGAAGAAAGAAGCAGAAGTCGACGACGCGGTTGCCTTGGATAAGAGCACGCTCAAAGTCAAGACAGGCGAGTATTTGAAGTAAATGCATTATAACATTTAGCCTTACTTGGAAAGAGGTAAAGATTTATCTGAACAGACGACCAAAATATGTTTTGAATCGAGACAAATAATTATTTGGTTGATGGTTATGGCTTGGGAGTTACAGTTGACTGACGCAGTTTGATCTCTTAGTTCAGAGAGGTCCTGAAAATGAGTGGTCGGTGAAAACGAAATGAGTGGAATTAATAAGAGTAACTCATTGTCAAGGACAACATTTCGTTGTTGGACCACTCTCACTTGAATGATTAAACAAACGACCAATCATTTAGCCAGTATCAGGTCTAAAACATCACAACTTTTCACAAGTGTATCTCATTAGTTTATGGTCCACCCCTAAAATGATGATATTACGCGATCAAACTAAGCTCAATTTTCCTAAATTTCCTTTATCAGGTTTCCACGTGCCAGTTTTAGTTTCGTTGGGTGTGCTCGTCATATTTTGCGTGGTGGGAATGATATGGCTGAAGGTCACTTCGAACAAAGAGAGAGTCGCAAAGCAGTTCATACCACTTTACGAGGACCTGCAGAAGTGATAACGTCACAGAGAAGTTTCTGACCACAATTACCGAGTGTTGAACCAATTCTAGTTAAAACGTGTGTCTCGTAGTTAACAATTGCAGGCATAGAAGTAAAGTTAAAAAGGAGAGGATTACTCTCGATGCCAAGTCGTTCTTATAATTTTTCAGAAAGATTCGTGTTGTTTTTACCAAATCAGTAGAATTTCAAACACTTTCAGTTCCGTAACCTGTTTATCGTTGATTTTATAATTCATCCAACAAGAATTGTGTTAGAAAATTAACAATTTTTTTGTTTTCTATAGAATTACTTTCGTGGAAATATCGTTATATCTTGGTACAATTAATTTTTTTCTGGAGATATTTTGCTTTTAATTATAGGATAACTAAACTAGTGAGCGCGCTCTGATCAGTGCAAAAACCAGTGCTCATTGAACTGGTTAACCCGTAGCTGCTTTATGAAAATAATAAATGCAGGACTTATAACTTACTTGTGATAACTATAAATCAGGCTTACAAAAGTAACGGCTAACACTTTAAGAAAAAAGACTACGGGAGAGGCAAATAAGACAATGCCAAGCATAAGCCAAGGAAAAGTGGTTTCTCCTAATAGCCACGAGTAGCCTGGACGATACTAACAATAAAGTAGTATTTGTTGGTTTGGTTGACAATTTTTGTCTTGCTCGGGAACAAATTGCAAGGGAAAACGGGTTACTAGGTACTTTTCCGTGCATTGCTCCATGAATCAAAGTAAGCACACTTTCACAAGTATAATTCCCCGTCAGTGTAGGAGTTATTCTGAACATGTAGTGAGCGTCCAGACCTTCTTTTGTAGCTCACAAAGGAGATTTTTGTTATTTACTTTCATGGTGGGATAGTGGCCGCCTCTTCATGAAAATGCAATTAATTTGGTTTGGTGGATTTGTTTGGGAGTTTTTCCTCCAATTTATATTTTGGCTTTAGCGACGCTTGATTTAGTGCAAGCAATAGTCCCATTCATATCAGCATAAAAATGGAAAGATAAAAGTGTTATCAGACCCACAAAAGCAAGACGGAATTTGCGTAGGGTCTTTTCTTTGTCCTTCCTTTTTTATGTTTTGTTTTCCTTTTGTTTTTGTACTGTTTATAATTTGAATGGTAACTCACCCACTGTTCAAAAGAATTGTCACAAATCCATGAGAGGGGAAATATGTGATGATCACACACTAGATTGTTGTGGACTTTAATGAACGTTAGTGCATATCCCATACAGGTGGCAAAACGCTTTTTGTGTCCACTGATTGGTTAGAAGGAAGCCATTAGCATGTGTTATTCACCTCCGTGGAGCTCGAGAGACGAAATCGCATGTCCAGAGTTTAGTGAAGGTCTAATCACATTTTTTGTATGGTTATAGGAAATAGACCAAACATTTGTTTCTAATGTGGCACGGTATATCAAGCTTCAACTATCTTTAAAATTCCAACTAATGTTGCGCTGCGTTTACAGCATATGCCTATTGCTTTCCTTACAAAATCTGAAATAAGCATTTTTCGCTTTTTACTTTGCTACTGGCTGTACCTCCGGTTGGAGGCATTCCATCGTTTCAGACTCGTGCCATTTGCCGCGTCAAAAAGTTATGCTTTTACTTTTTCTCCCCGTCATGAATAATTTACCCTCTCTGAAATTTCTGAAACTCCATGGTAAGCAACCTCCGCATTCAGAATATTTAATAAAGAGAGGCCTTTTTTTACTGTTCTGCGTATTTGCTTTATTCTTCCCGTACGTTCTACGTGATTTTGTAATTAATGTCTTTGTACATAGATCATTCACTGTAACATGACACTTATATTCATAATACCATAATAATTAAAAGTAAAAGTAGGCAGCGACCGTCATCTAATTTAATCAAACGCGCGGTTACAATTTTTCCACATTCCCGCTAAATTACACATATTACAGCGACATGGAAAACAGTCTTATTCCAACAGCAGTATCTACATTTTAACAGTTCTCTTAGATTGCACAGTTACAACTACTTTTGAAGTTATCTGGGTATAAAGTAAATTTATTTGAGTCTTTACAAATCCCATTACATGGCAATGTATGGCTGTTAATGAAAGTTCATATATCGAGCTTGGACCCTTTTTCTACGCTTTTGAGCCTGTTTCAATTCATTCAAGCACGAGCAAAACCGAAAAAGGCAATTTAAACTATCAAAGTAGGTGGCAACAGTGCTGAGATATCTCGCTGTTATTTACGCGGAATCTAACAAAAGATTGGACTGTAGGAATTATACAGGATTTGATTCGTCAAAATGACTCTCAACTTCTTGGACAGTTCTTTCAGGAGACACAGTTGCTGTTGTTTTGCATCTCAAACATAGTGATATAAAGTATTGCCTGTATTCTCTATTACTGAGAAAATAAATCCACGGGTTTACAGTGGAATTGAACATGGACAGCGCCAATAAAACTTGTAGTCCAAAATATGTGATTCGGGAAAGGCCAGTTTCGATTAAAACGTAATGGATTTGACTAGGAAGCCAGCAAGCTGTTAGGACAGCGACTGTGATGGCACACATGCGTAGCAACAGTTTTTGCTGGTGCCGCGCGTGCAGTGTAATGCCAGATACTGACGGGCTATTCTTTATTCGATACCATATGTGGATAAACGAAGCCCAAGTGACCAGCGTCGGAAGGACATACGTTACTGTGATGTTAGTTAAAGCGAGCGCTCCTCGTCCCTTCTTCCCCAATTTACTTGAAACAGTTACACACATGTTGTTCTCAAACTTAACGAGAAAGAACTTGTAAGTTTGTAATAAAAAACTTAAAATTATGATACACAAGATATACAGTAAAAGTCTTTTGCGAGAAAAAAACACTTTGTACTTGAATGGTTTTATTACCGAACACCATCGTTCAAGTGCTAAAAGTAAGACGATTAAAATGGAAACTTTGCTAAGGAAAAACACTAGGACATTATTTCCTAAGAGGTAGCAGAAGAAATAACCCATTGGGCCAGCCAGTGATGGATGACGGATAATACGAAACATTGGTGTCGCAAAAATAATGGCCCCTGTAAGTGTAAGAAAAACGAACATCTTATAACTTTTAATCCACAACATATAAAAAGCCCATCAATTCATTTAAGATACGAAAAAAAATAATCTATCGATGCTTACAGCTGCCTCCAAAATGGGAATAAATCTTTGATAGAAAGACGTTAAGTGACCTGTCAATGATTTATCCAAGCTGTTTCATATAACACTTTTATCTGCAGGCAGTTCATGGTAGGTAGTTCAAAAGAGAATAATATGTTAGGCCCATTTTTCTAGATAATTTGGATATATCAACAAAGTTGAAATGGTAAATTGGCCACCGTAATGATTACAAAAGCTGACGTTTCGAGCGTTAGCCCTTCGTCGGAGCGAATAGAGGAATTGTGGGTTGTGTGTGCTTTTAAAGGCAGAAAATGGAGCTACTTTATTGGTGGGAGCATGGCAACGAGAAAAACATGAATAAATTAGTGGAATGAAAAGCATTCGTTGATCCCTGTGGGATTTAGACGGCCGGTTTGAAAGATGAGCTTTTGTTCAAGATTTGTTCGGCTTTCCGTGCCACCTAAGTGCAAGGAAAGACCGCAGATTGCCAAATAAATTTTTCAAATAAATTTTTGAAAAGAAAATTTTCCCTGAGCGGGATTTGAACCCACGTCCCTCCTGTTACTAGTCAGGTGTGATGACCACTACACTATCAGGACAACCATGCTGGCAACACGGCAATCAAATATGTGATATATATAGCCAAAAAAACCTTCGTTCCCTTTAGTGGACAAAGGCTGAAACCAGACGATCAGAGTTTTTCTTGCAGCTAATTGCCGCAAACGTTATATTTTCCGTATCGTTCATAATGTTTTTGAAAATGTGCTCTGAGTACTGAACTTGTGTAAATATTTTTTCATGAACAAGTGACGTCACCTTTTGAAGTATTATTTTCTCAGATAAATTACTCTCGCAGCTTTTTCTTTTTATTCCCTTGTTTTTCCGTAGTCTGGCTTGTTTTACTGCTCATAAAATTTTTCATAAGTAAGAATTTTCATGATTTGTGACTCAAAAAGCAGCTACCTTCACGCACACAGAAATATTCGAATAAAACTCATTTTACAAGTACCTGTGAACATATCAGCTGTTGCTAAAGTCAGCAGTAGAATGTTGTGAGGTTTTTTCAACAGGAAAGGTTTTTTATACAGTAGGAAACAAAATATAGCATTGCCTGCCATGGAGAGCGCACCAATGACGCCGTATGTAGCTGCAATGGCTGGAGTGAGATCCATGGCTGCTCACACGAAAAGCCCAATGACTCCTAGATGTGCCAATAAGACAAGGGTGCGACATAAAGAATAAAGAAGAGCATCTTATAGATAACATAAAATGAGCAATAAAAAAGAGATTCTTCTAAAGAATCACAAAGGGTATTTGAATCACTAAGCTTGGCCTACTCTGAATGACGCTGTAAGCAATGTTTTGCGACGTCACTTTTCCCTCCGAATTGGCTTCGTTCAGTTTTTGAAGATCCTGTTGCAGCAGTTAACCCGATGAAAACGTCAACTGTTAAGTTCAGCGATTGTCATAACATTTATAGCAGGGTAATCAAAGGAGAAATTGGTTTAGTTATTAGTTTAAAGTTTTCGCCGAATTCTAAACAAATAGTTACATTGCGATGAATTAAGAAAAAATTGACAAACACGTCAGTCAAAGAATAGCCTGGTGACTTTCACATGGAGCCAAGAGATCGCTGCATGTGGTGCACGCAAAAATGGAACGAAGAAATTGAATTGTTACCCAACAAAGAAAATACATATTCTACTAAGGGTTTAAGTCAGTATGCAAAAATCAAAATATTTGGACGAAAAGGAAGTCATAAAGTGATAAGTGACAGTAAAGTCTGTTAATATCCTATATATAGTTTATTGTTTAGTCTGTAATGTAATCAGTATCATCCCATTTGTGTGAAATGTGCCAAATTTTTATTAGCAAGTGTACGTAAGCACTGTACGCTGAGATAGTTGGCGATGTTTTAATTTCCTTTAATAACCCAAAACTCAATTTCTTTCGGCAATGCCTTTTAGAGACTGTTCAAGGCCTTCTCATAATTTAATATCTTTGGCTGGGGTTCTTTGGAGCTTAGTTCAAAATTTAAAACTGGCTTCGTAACATAGCACCCATCAAATTCGCGAAACTACCTCGCACTAGTCTCGTGCAAGCAGAAGGGCATGAAAAATTTTGCTCGTCATTCGCCTTCGACAGCCTGAAAAGGCCCACACAAAAAAGAACACAAAACAAAGAAAAGAAAAGAAAAATTATTGACGCAAGTTGAGAGAACACGGTTAAAATTGTTCACCAACGTTTTTTCAGACCAATTCAACGACTGAAATGTAGAATAAAGATCTGAAAATTCAAAGCAATCATTAATATTTGCATTGGAATATCGTAAGCCTGAAAAATAAGAGTCTGTTCCACTGCTGGCGTATTGTAGAGCACGAGATTAACCAATTATAACTGACTTCATAAAATGCAGTTATCGATTTCTAAGAATGCATATTGACTTGAAATCCCCATCAATAACCTACAAACGCTGTTTATCGAGCTAAGGGAAGTCGACAAATTGGGTGCTCTTCGTAATCAGACAAAGCCTGGATTGATCAACATACCGACCAAACTGCATCAAGGGAAGGATTAAAGTATTGGACTCATTACTTGAAGAGATATAGAATGCTAATATACCGTGCACGCAAAGTTCTCAATAACCATTTATTTCTTTTTCAAAGCCAATACAAATCACCAAATTTTCCGCTGATTAATGCCTTCCTTCTTTTAATTGCAAGCAAGGGAAACAAAGTCTTCTTCGCCATGCTCCGGCCCTATGAAAAAGACAAAATTTTCTCTTGGTAAAACGTAACACTTTCCTGACTCACTATTGTCCTAAATTATCTTATTGTAAACATGTAGACATACCTGTAATTATTTCTGAAATCAAATTTATTGGCTTAGTCAGCCCACAGCCCGCTTTTTTTCTTCCTCAATACACCGCATGCAAATATGGCGTCCAATTTGAATTGACATTGTTCTGGACTCACTAGCCTCGTCTTCACGTGGAAACACGAAATGATTATCACACGTGTGAGAGGCTAGTGAGACCAGAACAATAGCAATTCAAATTGGACGCCATATTTGCATTCGGTGTATGGCAAAGTTTATCTAAGCTATCAGGCCGGCTGTGTAATTGATTGCCTACTCAATCTTTTGTTGCCATCCGTTCGTTTTGCCCACTGTACATTCAGCTGTGATCTTAAAACAAAAGATGGCCAGGAAAGTCACAGGTGGAACAACATATGCTACTGTTCATAGAGCTGGGCTAGTGTTGATAGACTAATAGATTTACATAAATAATTCTGACATGTAAGATTTGGTCCCTTCTTTTGTCAGGGGAATATATATAATTCATTGTGCCCCTCTTTTAAGGTCTGGAAGACTGAAGCCTCATACAAGTACAAATACCTTTATTTGGTAAGTTTCTTAAAAATGGGGGTTGGCGTTTTAATCTATCATTTCTAAATACCATATCGTTCATTTCTTTCTCCTTTAGCAATGAAATATTTTTTCTGTGTCGAATATTTTGGGTCAGTAATCTATGTTGGTGACCCCTTTATCGAAACGAACAGAAAACTCCTCCTGCAGGTTCTTGGTCGAAAACGGCTATAATCTGCTTTTACAGTATATACTCTCTTTTTCTACCAGAACAAAAATCAGTCTGGAAATGCACTTCAAGATCATTTCGTTGGTCGTCCACGCGGTAATCGTACTGGGGAAGCCCGTCTATCAAGATAAAAGTATGATTTTAACTACAAATCACATGTTTTGAGGAAAAAACAAATACATGGCATGGTTACAATTCAAGATAGTTTTTTTCGTTTTTACAGAATATTGCAATTGGAAATGCTTTATCTGACTGGAAACATTTCACCCACAGGTTACATAAGTTTATAGACAATTTTTTAAAAAATATTCATTCGTTTTTGATAAAGTCTACCATTACTTTAGTGCATTTGATCATTATATCATTATTATAAATCGTAAGACCCTCACTCAATTAGTTGTACCTAATTAAACTATTACGAAGCTAGTACTTGGTATAAAAGAAGAATAAAGAAGTAATTCTACAATGTGAGCTATTTAACCGCTCTAGTTTTATGTAACTAAAAATGGCATGATGTCAACATATTTTTATTTTTCCATTCATACTCCTTGTCCTAATATATTTTTATCAAATGATGAACGGAAGACATTATCATAATGCACATATCTTGCAGATGGTAACACGGTTTCTTTCATCGTGTTTACACCTGCTATATTGAGAAACTTGATAGTGTTAGCAGAAAAAAGTCATTTGTTCTATGAAATTGAAAACAATATTCTGACTCTGACAATGGGAAGGAAATGTCATTTTTTCGATCGGAGCGCTACATTTTTCTACTTCTTTTTGCCTTTTTCGTCCTTTCTTTATCTTTTTTGGTGTCTTTTCATCTTGGTTTTGGAGATAGTCATGCTCTCTCACCATCAGTTCTCATTTGTTCAGCAAAGAAATGGGATGGTAGATTGACCTGGCTATACCTTCGCCGCAACTAGATTGCGAACCTTATAATTTTCTGTGTTTGAAATCTTTACATTAGCTGGAAGCTGTGATGTTAACCCCAGATACAGATGGGAATGCGGATGGCTCGGGATAGATAAAGAGACCTGCGAGAAGCGAGGCTGCTGCTGGGATGACAGTGATCCTTGGGCAAAGTTCTGTTTCGTCAGAAAGTATAAAAGTAGGATCATTTCCATCAGCCTGGTATAATCTAAGTGATATAATTTGAGAAAAGAAAATTATCTTGATTTGGCATCCTAGGTGTTTAGGTATACAGCCACGTTATGCACTCTTTTCGAAGAAAGCTCTCCCCGCCAATCACTAACGGGGAATTATATCGCGTTGCAGATCTTCCTGATGGTCTGTGCCCTGTTGCTCCTTCTGAGCGCCAGGAGTGTGGTCATTATGGGATTACGAAGGACGAATGTCTGATTAAATCATGCTGTTGGGACCCTACCGTACATAACGCAAAATGGTGCTTTAAACAGCCTGGTGAGTAAATTTGATAGCACCCGTGAAAGTTTGAGACATAGCGTACCCTTTCTGCTCCCTTCCCATGCCGGTAAATGAATGTCGGAGTACATAACTGCTGGCCTTCCGTAAGTGCTTTCAAGAGACAGTTGGGTAAGTATGATAGCACCTAGAAATCGTTGGAACCTGCTCGCTTCCCAGTTAATAAATGAGTGTCTAAGTACATTATGCTACCACAGTTCAACCGAAGTGGCACTTTATACAGCGCGGTGATCAAGTCAGATAACACCTGTTAGCCGAGGAAAAGACCCGTTGTGCTCCCAACTGATGCAACTGATGCAGGCTAATACCGTCAGTATCAGATTTCATTTTACTTGGCGAAGGAGAGCGTACTACGTACATGCATGTGTTGTTTAAGCATCCAATCTGGGTAGCTACGGGTTTTTCATATCGATTTCTATAAATCGCACAATAATGATATCAAGAATTTTCCTCAATTTCAGTTGGGGAAACGAGATCTTGTTACATCTATCATGGTATATCAGGAACATGTAAATACGTGTGTGATAAGGACGAGCGAAAGAACTATGGAATGGGGCAGTGCAGAGGGAGAATATGCTGCGTCTAAGATAAACTTGTGTGAGTACATACTATCAATAAGATTTTGTTATAACCTTGTGGGAATGGTGAAAAAGGGTATACAAATAACAGGTGTAAATTTTCTTTTTTATGGCCTGATCCGTCAATGTGATGTGTTTTCTGTTCAAATCTGGATCCAAAGTACCCGAAAGTGTTCTCGATATCAGTTTACTCGATACTCACGTTGCAGTATGCGGCCGACTGCCGCCGAACCGATTCAAACGCTTTCTTCTTCTACCATAAATCAGTACAATGGCAACTGACCACAAAAAGAATGAAAAAAAAAAGGAGACTAAGCATAAACAATCTCGTTTTGCATATTAACAGGAAAAAAATTCAAGCATTTCGAACTCAGACCTTCTTTTCGCATTTGATTTTGTATAGTTAATAAAACTGCAATTATATTTCATCTATCATCATAAATATTATGAGTGTTCATTAGAAAGCATAAATCTTTCCTTTGTTAACATTCAATTCGTTAAATTGTTAACCTTGGCTGCATTTTTGTTTAAAGGCTGATAGTTTCGAAAGAAACTGCTTGGGGCTGTGTCGGTGGGGGTAACGAAATAATTTGGATATATCAACAAAGTTGAAATGGTAAATTGGCCCTCGAAGGGCTAACGCTCGAAACGTCAGCTTTTGTAATCGTTACGGAGGCCAATTTACCATTTCAACTTTGTTGATATATCCAAATGTATTTTTGTTTGTTTCTTTTCTCTTTTTACAGTGGAAGATAATGCATGACAAATGCTACAGAACAAATAATCCATCACTTTCGCGAAGAATGTAACATTTCAGTCAATAATCAATAAAACGTTTACAATTGTCAAAATGCTGTCCTTGATTCAAACTGAATCCTGATTGAGGTTCCATTCCGGGCATGCAGTGCCAATTGTAACAAAATGGGGCTTATCTTTTTGAAAAGTGTTAGCAGACCCTTTACTCTTTTCCTTGGTTAAAAGATATCACCAACGTTTTGCCAAATATTGTATCCACAATAATTATAGTTTACTCTGAAAGTGATCAAGAAGAACTGAAAATAAAGAAAGTATCATTAGCCCCAATGAGTTATATTTATGTGTAAAATAACAGTCCTGTTTCTAACACACTCTAAATCTTTAACAAGACCTCCCTCCCCTTTCAATGTTGGCTAACTGTTCAAAAGACATAGAATAATGACACAACATTGCTTTGGGGAGGAAGGGGGCGAATAATTTTACTTAGCGGGGGAAAAAGAGATAAAATTGAAGTAATAAAGGATTGAAAAGATTTATGTGTCAACAATTTGTAGCCTATTGTTGGTATACTATGGAGCCTGATGCGGAATCGCAGTACATGACGCCTGTGCACTTCTGGTTGCCGTGTTTATTGAAATGTTATCCCTTGAGATGTGCGTGAAACATTTTTGAAATGATGCCAGATTCCCCGAATTTCCAAATGCGTTTAAGAATATATCTCCTTAAAGATAAACAGAAACCATTTCAATCAAACTCACAAACAGCGTTTTTTGTTGTATAGTAACCTTTCTGACTTTTACTGGAAACAGATTTTAAAGCTGTCAGGAAAAAAAGGTATATATTTTAGAAAACTTACTTTGTGACCATTTAAATTATCAATTCGTGTGGATTATGGTTACTGATATTCTCCAAGAGTCAAGTCTCGGGGATTATTCAACAATAGTCACTTCGCCCTTGGCAAACAACTGTTAGATATAATCCACAATGCACCTTGCCAGCCATGAGCTCCAACATGAAATAATGATTGGCGGCCACAGAGTTTCATATTTAATCAGGACATGTTCTCGAAACATTATTAGCCATTAAATATTTCTGAAATGGGTTGTTTAGCAATTCAATATCGCTCCCTTTTACGTCGTGTCAGGAAGACTAATACTACTCACCAATTAAGGTAACTATTCATAATAATGCCAATCTACAAGAGGCTCCTTGGTAGACTTATGTAATGCGAAATTCAGGTATCAGCTGAGCCAAATAGGTATATGTTCGCATCTTTCTTTTTCTTTTTTTTGTTTGTTTTAGTACATCAGCCCTTGTCACAATTCCTTCAACAAAGGATACCAGCTTCCCCCAAAAAGGCAAAAAAAAAATTGTTCAGATTCTTTCCTAGCGAAAACGAAAACATAAACACGTTCAGCTACACGATGGGCTAACGCTCGAAACGTCAGCTTTTAACTCTCTACGGTGGCCAATTTACTATTTCAACGTATTATATATTACCAATGTTCTAACTGGCGTTGAGTAACCACAGACTTAGAACTATTACGAAAAGAGAAAAGTTAAAAAAAGAAGCTGTTTAACAGTTGCCTCGAGTTTTTCAATTGAATAAATCACTTTGTTCTGGAGTTCAGTTAGCTTTGACAAATACACTTTTAATATTATTATATTTCATGGATAACGAGATCGAAAGGGATAATAAGAGGAGCATATTATTGTTTGGTTAGCGATTGGAAAATTCAGACTGATTAACGCATCCAGATCATATGTAACGATAAACCCTCATCAAAATCTTTATCTAAACAAAAATTTAGACCTAATTGCATCAGCAAACTAACTCAGGTAACATATAACCATCTTAAGGGTTTAAAGTCTCATCTTAATCACAATTTCAGTATATTTTCGGTCGCATCTCTTTATGTCAACCCATTGTTTTCATCCATTGCTGTCTTTCTTCATTCATCTTCTAAGAAACTAAAAAAGAATCACAAAAAAGATAATTAAAGACAGCAGCTGAGCTTGGTTTGTTTAGCTGGGCAAAGGAAACATCATAACAAGATAACACAGGAGAACCCGGCACGCCTATTGGATCATCTCCACCAAGTTGTTCCTTACAAATAAATAAGTTATTTTTGTATACTTAAAAAATATGTTTATTTTCTCCTTACCACAGTTAGCCCAAGATCTATTGTAAGTTGCAGTAAGTGAACACCACAATTTTTCATGATTGTCTATGGTACAGGAGCCGTATGTCTTCCCTTTATAGGTGAAAGGGAAAACACAGCAAGTACCTTGCGGATTGTCGGTTTTTTTGCCTGTTGGACACCCACTAATGACTGCAAAAAAACAAAGCGCGAATAAAGATCTGTGAGAAACTAGCAAACTTAATATAACCTTAGAGATCGCCATCTGCTATTCTGGTCATGCCTCCGGCAAAATTGCTTTTGAAATACTAAGTTATTCGTACATCTTGGAAGAGCCAGTTTGTCTTTTTCACTGACAATCTGCAGAATTTAATGGGAATCCTTATTTAATAGTTTGATTTAGTTTATTTGCCTGTCATCACGTTAACGACACAAAAATTTTCCTTCTAGAATAAAGTACACAGAACGGCTCCTTTAGCTGCCCATAGAAAAGCAGTAATCCATGAAAGTCATGTGATTAGGCAGACAAACGCGCGGTCGAGTGTTGAAGAGGCTGATGTTTCTTGGTGACACGGCATATTGTACAGTCAACCGTTTGATTCAGAGCCAGAAATTTGAATTTCGATGAAATTTATCTTGATAACATCCGAAAAGGAACATTATCCACCGTAAGGAGGCGAATTGAATATTTGAGGCGAAGTTGTTACATTTGATGAGGCAGACTCGTATTGATGGGTGCTCATTGATACAGGGAGAATTTGATCCCTTTCTATCATATGGAAAACTACCCTAAGTTAACTTCTATTGCACGACGTTAAAACCTCTTACAACTTTTCAAAGAAGGGCTAGACGCATCATTACTTTATCTGCGCCAGGTGCACACTAGAACCATCTTTTTAAGAAACTGTTATAAATTACACCAACTGATCATGACTTACTATCGAATTTTTGGAACGCTTTAAGATTATGTACCAATCCCATTTTAGTCAACTCCCTGAGTCATTTTAGCATGATCCTCATGGATGATGAACCTATCTATGTTATGGAAATAATCCACAGCTTTCACACCAAAGCTTTCAAATGGGTGCCCATTCCTATTAGTTTCTATTTATGTTTTTGAATCCTCCCGTATTTCCTTTTTTCTCTCTCATTTCTATTTAATTGTCACTTCGTTATTTCAGCGCTTAAACCCCCTAAAAAGGGAGCTATATTTTAGTTTTTAACTATACCAAACTACACCAGGTAACACCTTGTACAATCTATAACAATACAATCTATAAAAATACAATCAATACAATCTATAAAAATACTATCGATACAATCTCTAAAAATACAATCAATACAATCTATAAAAATACAATCAATACAATCTATAAAAATACACCTATAACACATAATTCACCAAACTACACCAGCTTACACTTTTAAGTGTATTAAGATATTAAAATACACCAAACAGCATCAAACTACCATGAACAATACAAACTGCTGAAATAAACCAAATTACATAAACTACACCAACTACACCAAACTACACCGAGCTATACCAACTAAATTAAACTAAACAACTTACGCGAACCCCACCAAACTACGGGAACTACATTGATTGCACTCAATATACAGTTTGCAGTGGCTACAAAACTGCAAAACCTTATTTTCCTCTTAGATTTTGAAGAACTTGGTCTTTTTCCTTGAAAGTAATCATGGATCCCCTACCGATATATTCAACAGTGCAGTATGTTCTATATATGAGAAATATGTCTGCACCTCTTGTTGTGGCCCTATACCAAAACTTTAGACTCGGGAAGACTTACAAATACTTACTAGTACAGTCTGTGCCGTTTCCATAATATCCATCTTTGCAAGTGCATTTGTAAGATCCAAAGGTGTTATTACACTCAGCATTTACATCACAGTGGCGTTTTCCATCGGCACACTCATTTATGTCTAGAGCAAGGGAGAAAAACTATTTAAATCAGACATGTTATTTTCTGCTTTTCTTAATTCTCACTTCAAAGAATAAAAAAGTATGACACTCAGCATTCACACCGCAGTTGCGTTCCGTCAGTACATTCGTTGGTATCTAGATCAACAAAAGCACTTTTATTGGTGAAGAATAAGAAGTCCAAGACAAATCGAACTTCTCCGATTTTTGGTAGCGTGAAGGTGGCTTGTATCAAACTTACCTGACCTGCTCAATTTTTCGACCTATAGGCGTTGAGGTAAATTTAAAGAAGGCCTCTTATGTGTGTCTCTGTAGCGCGTTATGGGTACCCTTCCCTATTCAGCTATGGCACATCTCCTAAAAATCCTAAGTTGTAGATGCGCTTGTGAGAATCCCACGTGTCTTTACAGGTGGCATTAGTACGAAAACTGTACAGACCTGATGACTTCTTTCATAACGAGTAGCAAATCATGTGGGAATGAAATTACATTGTTCACAATAGTCTCCATTCCACCCAGATATGTTACAAAAACAGGTGAAGTTCACATGACCGTTTAAGCACTTTGCATTGTTTTGACAAGGGTTTCTAATGCAGTAATCTGCAACTTCATGAGAAAAAAAAAAATAAATGGCATTAAAAAGCATTTCAGCAAATTTATAAGGAAATATCTACTTTCCTAACCTTCGGTTTTCATGTCACAGCGAGCAAGAGTAGGCTTCCCTGATCCGGCAGAATCCAACCAGTAATTACCGCTGATAGCCTGTCCTCCCTCACTCGCCTTAATCTCTTTACACGAATCAGCAGGCAGCTCAGAAATGGATCCGAGAGGGACTGCAATAAAAGAAATACCTTTTAGTAT